GCCCTCCGGCTGGGGAGGGCCGGGTTTGGCTTCCCGTGGGCGCAGCCCCGTCCGTCGCAGGTGCAGAGGCTTCTCTGCGTCTCCCCTGACACAGAGCCCCAGCGCTGGAGGCCCCTACCTGACTTTGCATACTTCCTGCCTGCCGGCCGCTCCTGTCGGCGCCGGCCTGCTGAGTGGAGTGGGAGGAGTAACCAGTTTCACTTCCTCGCCTTGAAGCCCCGGAGCCCGCAGGCTCCTCTGCCACTGAGAGCCAGGGCCAGGAGCAGCCCAGCCCCTCTCTCTCCTCTCTCTCTCCCTGCCTCTGCAAAGGGCGCGAATGGGCAGAGCAGAACTTCCAGAAGGGAAGATGAGCACCCGGAATCGCTCACAGCTGTGGAGCAGGTCGGATGGAGGAGAAGCTGAGCTGCTGGAGGACCTGGGGTAAGAGACATGTCCCCTCAGAGCGCCTGCTGCGTGGACACCGGCTCCCCACACCCACCTGCGGGCCGGCTCTGATCCCATGTCGTTTCTTCGGCAGCCCTACCCTCTTTCTACCCTTGTACTCTTTTCGTTCGTGTCTGTTGGGTACTTCCAGTTGGGGCTCCTTGCCTTGTAAAGGCATACATGACTTTTCAGATGTGAAAATACGTAGGTTTGAGAACATGGGATGAGACTCGAACATCTGGCATTCTTTGAGAATAGGGACAGCATTAGGGTGTGGGAGGTGATGGTGGTGTGGCTTGGTTTCCTTGATGTCGCTCTGGTTGATAAATAAATGGGCCGTTCAAGAGTTTTGAACCCTGACCTAGGGAGTGTCAGAAGACTGTGTTACAGTAAGCTAGAGAGAAAGCCTACTGTCCTGTCCGGGAGTGGGGCTTTTTCAAAAGGCAGAATGAGGAAGTTTCTGCAGCTAGCTTGCTCTGTGCTACTCTGCCTGTCACTGCGTGAGCTGCTTATCAAATCACTAAAGCTATAATGTCACATCTCGTCTGGAGGGGCAGCAGAGCTGACTATCCAAACAGAAGATGGAATTTCTGCTCTCAACAGGTAAGCTTAGGCAGGTGGAGTCCCTGGAGTTCTGTCTTTAAGCAGGAACCCAGACAAGGCAACCCATCAGGGTAGTTAATAAAAGAAGTGAGTATTACACAAGAGAGGAACAGGGTATTTCCAGGAGAAACTGGACCTTCCTCCCAAAGCCCCGGAATATCCCTCCAGGGTGGTTTTGACACCTGTGCATGAGGAGAGATGAAAACTGTACCTTCTGTCTGGGTAAAAACTCCAAATCTTCACAATGACACAGTGACATAGAAACTGGTCATCTTCATCTTATCAGGGACGAAACAAGTCTGAATGACTTGCCTACTAGTCAGACGTCATTTAAATGACACAGCTGAGACTCAAACCTGCTAAAGGCTATGCTCTCTGCAAGAAAAACCAAAATGGAGTTGAGACCTCTCTGTGTGAAGACTACAGAGATTGTATCTTTTTGTATCATATTACTGTAATAGTTCAAAATAATCCCTGCTTTTACGTTTTAAAATTGACATCTCCGAATTTAATTGTAACTTCATTTGGCAAATCAGATGTAACTAGATCTAGAACTTCAAATAAAGAAAACTCCCCTTATGAGGAAGTCAGAGTTCTAGGATCTCTTTGTCCTTCTAGATAGAATCTCCAAACGGAAGAGGTAAAAGATTCCTCTGTGACCTTGCAAAACAGGTGTCACAAAGTTCAGCACGAAAGCTGGGCTTTGAGTTCTCACTTACTGCTGTATTGAATCAATAAGCTGTAATACTTATTGAATCATTAAAGCTATAATGTTTTATCACATTTGCAGTCCATCACACTAGGAAGCCCCAAAGGAGAAAGAGACAAGAGGAGATATTTGATTCTGATTCTTCAGTTATACAAACAATCTTTTTGATAATCAGACTCCCGGAATTTCAGTACTGTGGACACACATTTAAATGACACACGTGTGTCATGACGTGACAGAGAAGAACTAAACTACATCTCTGTGCCTCACTGTCATGCCAATAGCAGGAAGCAACTACAGGTAAATCCCACAGGGAAAATGCCACTGGGTCTTTCCTCCAGGAAAAACCCAAAGTCTCCCTCACGTACACACATGCACACCCACACACAAGGTGCATTTATGTCCAGACGTCCCTATTTCAGAAGGCCTGGAAATTTATTAAACATGGGGAGATGATTTCTGTAATAATGGGCAACTGGGGAAACTGCTCTGTAGTCTGAGTTCTCAATCTTCATTGTGCATTAGAACAACTCAAGGAGTTTTTAAAAACTCCTGCTGCCCAAGCCACATACCTGACAAATGACATCAGTGTTTCTGCAGGGAAGCTTCTTCCTTTTTAAACTCTCGAAGTAATTCCACAGTGAGACTGATGGAGCTTAAGAATCACTGCACAGAATATATACCAACCCAAAGCATCGATTAAAAATGCCTTTATTTTTCAAGTCTGTTGAATGTGTACTTGAATCTTAAAGCTACCAAAATAATTGTTGGCACTTTGTTCATTGGTTTGGAGGCATTTGAGTTAGCGATTTTATTAAGGTATATTTTACATACCATAAAATCTACCCATGTCAAGTGTGCAATTCATTAATTTTTAGTAACTTTCAGGGTGACACAGCCATATCCTAAATCAGTTTTAGAACATTTTCATTCCCCCAATAATAACTCTCAGTAGCCTGACTTCTTTAAACATACTCAATGGTATGCAGGAAAACCATGTGAGGTGGGTGGGTGGTAGAGGAAGCCCTGGTTTCTAAAATTTACCTGATTTCCTGGTGTAAATACTCCCATCATAACTTGCAAAATTGAATATTTAATAATCAACTTGAGCCAGGGCCTGCCACCTCTGGTATGTCCCTGATACACTTCTCATAGGTAATTATTTGGGAACGCTTTACAATGACTTGTTGCCTCTTGCAGAATACTGAGTATGAATGAAACTTTTTCTCTGAACCTTTATACTGGAGAGGTATGATCTGTACCAAACCTTCCAGTTAATTCAGTTTTAAAGAGCTTCATAAAAACAAAATGATTGAATGTAATTGATAGACAAAGTGTGGCTGGTTTAATGCCTTAAATTTTAAATTGTTTTAATAGGTTATTCAAGTATACATTCTTATGTTTCTACTTTCAATAGACATAAACTACAGAGTCCTTGTTCTTGGGTCCCTGTTTTTCTTCAGGCTCTGGAACATGTAAATCCTGTAAATGCAGCCCTGGACTGCAGCAAACCCATCACTTTCCTTTCTAGGCCTTGATCAATTTGCTCAGAGCACGGGGTTATTGTTTTCTAAAGTACCTAAAGCAAGCAACTCAGATGCATTTCCGTGTCTCATTTACGAGAGTGTCAGTCTAAGACCATTTATTTTCTTTCATCCTAAATGCATAAATGTGGAAATAAAATCATCTGAAATTGTTGCTTAGCTTCACTTACCCTTGGCGGTGTGGGACTGGGGAGGAGGTGGGCACTGGGGGAGAGCAGGGGGTATAGGGACTGGTGGGGGAGAAGCAAGAGGTGGACTAGGGCAGTCCAGTCTGACTGTTTGCTGTTTTCAAAATGAAGAGATAGGGAAATAAAATAAGGAATAAATGCTAGGGACATCACCTGCGTAATAAACTGGTATAGACTTGACCACTTAGTTAATTATTGAAAATTCCAGCAATTCTTTGGCTCTAACAAAAATTCCTACAAGATAGTATAGGAATAGTAGAGTTATATATAGCCATGAACACAAAAGGGATACTCTCAAATAAAAATAGTTCAGGGCATTTTCAAAATAAATAATAAAATTATCTAATCAGACCTATTCCAGAGTGAAAAATATAATGAAGATTCCCTTTTTTATATACTTTCCCAGATCTCAAATTTTACAGGAAAGTGCTAGTGTCTGGCTGGGTTGGCCAGTGCCAACAAACTACATTCTAAGCTCTGGATATTTAAATAAATTAATCAAAATATCTTCATTTCTCTGCCCTTTAATTTTCCACATATAAAAGAAGGTTAGAGTAGGTTAGAAATCAGCAAAATTTTTTTTTTTTTTTTTTTTGCAGTTTTTGGCTGGGGCTGGGTTTGAACCCGCTACCTCTGGTATGTGAGGCCGGCGCCCTACTCCTTTGAGCCACAGGCACTGCCTGGAAATCAACAAATTTTTTAAAATAAAGGACCAGGTCATAAATATTTGAGGTATTGCAGGCCTTATGATCTCTGCCACAGCTACTTACATCTGCCATTACTGTGGGAAAACTACCCGGGAACACAGACGCAGATGTCTGTGATGGTGTTCAAACAAAACATATTTGTGGATGCGGAAATGTGAATTTCATATAATTTTCATGAGTCACAAAATGTCCTTCTTTTTTTCCCACAACCATTTCAGAATGTGAAGCCATTCTTGCCTCTCAGTCAGAAACAGGTGGCTGGCAGGAATCGACCCTCAGCTGGTAGTTTACCCACCCAGGGAATAAGTAATAATAAGCAAAACATTTTGAGGTGGATGTTGTGCAGACACTATCCCTGGTCTTCAGAAGGCATTAATATTCCAACTTGAGATGTGAGGAGATTCAGGAGCAGAGAAACCACATTGCCTGACGTCCCAGAGTGTCTGGGTCCGACGCGCAGCTTACTTCACAAATCAGGTTGCTTTTCTGTTGCATTATTCAGTCATTATTTACTGAGAGCCCCAACCATACACCAGCACCATGCCATTCACAGCATTATGTCAGTTAGCCCAGACATTTCAGCACGGTACCGTGAATTTAAATAAGGTAAGTGCATGGTCCAGCCTACACATCTGGTAAGAGGTGGGGCAGAGACGTGCCTAGGAGTTTACCCCACAGCTTTGCTCTTTGCTTCTTCTGCTGTGTTGTGCTAACTGGCAGTGCCCACTGATGGGAAGTTTGCATCCTGTTAATGGAAATTAGTAATTGTTGAATGCTTAGCGTGCAATTTGAAACTATTTAAAATTCTTTGCGTGTATGAATTTATTTAATGCACACACTACTATCAGGTGGGTACTATTACTAATGTCACTCCCATTTACAGATGGTAAAAGTGAAAGACAAAGCTTTAATCATGTGGCCCAAGGTTACATTCTAATAAACCTTCAAATCCAGGAGTTCTGCTACAGAGCCTTTCTGTTTGACCATTAAGGCAACTTCCTAATTTTGTCCAACTTCTCTCTTCTTCTTACACTAGTACAACTTATGGGTGCCAGTGGGAACTGAGAGGAGAAGGAAGCTCCGTGATCGCCCCATCAGCAAAGCGTATTATAAAGGACATTGTTCCTCCTGTAATAATAACGTGCACATGCACACAAAGGTGGGCCAACGTCCTGTTGACAGAGGGGTGACACCAACCAGAGCAAGGCACTTGTTCCTCTTCCGTGCATAATTCTGTAATCTTGGA